TCACCTGGGGCAAGTAACAGGTGTGGGCAATATAGAAATCACACCTGAAAGCAGATAAAAAGGAGAGACGTTCACTTAACCTTTGCATTGTGTGTCTGTCTGTGCCACACTAAGCATGGACAACAGAAAGAGGAGACGAGAACTGTCTGAGGACCTGAGAACCAAAATTGTGGCAAAATATCAACAATCTCAAGGTTACAAGTCCATCTCCAGAGAACTAGATTTGCCTTTGTCCACAGTGCGCAACATTATCAAGAAGTTTGCAACCCATGGCACTGTAGCTAATCTCCCTGGTCGTGGACGGATGAGGAAAATTGATGAAAGATTGCAACGCAGAATAGTCCGGATGGTGGATAAGCAGCCCCAACATGTTCCAAAGACATTCAAGCTGTCCTGCAGGCTCAGGGAGCATCAGTGTCAGCGCGAACTATCCGTCGACATTTAAATGAAATGAAACGCTATGGCAGGAGACCCAGGAGGACCCCACTGCTGACACAGAGACATAAAAAAGCAAGACTACAGTTTGCCAAAATGTACTTGAGTAAGCCAAAAGCCTTCTGGGAAAACGTCTTGTGGACAGATGAGACCAAGATAGAGCTTTTCGGTAAAGCACATCATTCTACTGTTTACCGAAAACGGAATGAGGCCTACAAAGAACAAAACACAGTACCTACGGTAAAATATGGTGGAGGTTCAATGATGTTTTGGGGTTGTTTTGCTGCCTCTGGCACTGGGTGCCTTGACTGTGTGCAAGGCATCATGAAATCTGAGGATTACCAAAGGATTTTGGGTCGCACTGTAGGGCCCAGTGTCAGAAAGCTGGGTTTGCGTCCAAGATCCTGGGTCTTCCAGCAGGACAATGACCCCAAACATACGTCAAAAAGCACTCAGAAATGGATGGCAAAGAAGCGCTGGAGAGTTCTGAAGTGGCCAGCAATGAGCCCAGATCTAAATCCCATTGAACACCTGTGGAGAGATCTTAAAATTGCTGTTGGGAAAAGGTGTCCTTCCAATAAGAGAGACCTGGAGCTGTTTGCAAAGGAAGAGTGGTCCAAAATTCCGGGTGAGAGGTGTCAGAAGCTTATTGATGGTTATAGGAAGCGACTGATTTCAGTTATGTTTTCCAAAGGGTGTGCAACCAAATATTAAGTTAAGGGTGCCAATACTTTTGTCCAGCCCATTTTTGGGGTTTTGTGTGACATTATGTCATATTTGCTTTTCTGCCTCTGTTTTATATTTGTTCCAATACATACAAAGGGAATAAACATGTGTATAGCAAAACATGTGTTAATGCAATACCTTTTTTGTGTGAAATACTTGATTTTCAGGAAAAAATATCAAGGGTGCCAACAATTTCGGCCATGACTGTATATATATATATATATATATATATATATAATATATATATTATATATATATATATATAGGGTGTGGTGTGATACACTGGCAGTGTTATCTGTGGAGTGGTTTTCACACATTGCATGGCATATCTTATGTGAATGTGTTTTCACTCTTATTGTCATTTCACTTAATTGTATGTGTTTTGACACTGGGTTAGAGTATACACATTTATTGTATTTTGCATGCTGCACAGCGAGTGGCACGTGTGTTTTACATTATTTAAGGTATGACACTATGTCGAGTTTTCTCTTTTTTTGAGGTGCACGAATATCAAGTGTTGCGGGTATTAAGAAGGTTTTGGTGATAAAAGAGAAGAAGAAAAAAAGTTTGAGTGTTTGTATTACACTTGTGAGGATTATTTTTTTGGGACTTTTTGAAATTTTATTTATCATTTTATTTTTATTTTTTTGGACACAGTGGGATTTTTGGACAAAAATTTTTTTTATATAATATTTTTTTATATATATAATTTTATAATTTTTTCATATTAGTTTTTGTTTTATCTTTTGATTTGATGTATTTGCTCATAGAAAAGTCACATATATATTGTTTAACTAGCCTTCAAGGGTGAAGGTAGATCACTTTTCTGGGATATTATAAGTTTAAGTGTTGTGATATATAAGTATAACTACTGGGGATGGTTCACAATCTACTAGTTGGATAAACTGCTAGACTTTAACTCACAAGTTTGTGATGCTTCTGTTCAACCTCTTCCTGCCCAGAATACCTTAAAGAGTTCCTTCACACTAGCTTTGGTCTCTGAAGAGCAATCTGTGTTTAGATCTTATGAGAGCATTTGGCAAAGAATGAGGAGGTGTTGTATCACCCTTATTACCGCCTGCTTAAACCCCTGGAACCCCACATTAGCACACCGCAATTACATGCAGTTGTGGAGTACTTGCAGAGTAGCCACATTCACTTGAAAGGATTGCACTCATCAGGCACTGTACCCACAGAAAGGAACAGAGGGTATAATTTCTGTCATGGTCACGAAAAAAAGCATCATAGTGGCAGCATGTATACACCCCAGCCCCGTGTTGTCAACGGTCTATGAATTTACAGATGTTTGTAAAAAACAGGCAGTCATTTCCTGTCCATAAATATCTGTAGACTGGAGAAAAGTGCCCCTAAAAAAACTCCTCGTCTTCAGCTCTGAACTGCGCCTGCACAGTTATGGAGCCATCCTATTCGAAAATTGCTGGGCTTGGCCTCAAAACAGGCAACAGGGCTGGTCCAGATGTACACCTGTACAGTGACGGCATCGCACTTATAAGGTATGGCTTATATTCACATGCTTCTCTGGATGAGTTTTGGCCAAACCTGGCAGTTCGCAATTTGGCTGGCTCTGGTTAGCCAGTGTTGTCACCTTAAAGATTTTCTGTTGAGGTGAACTTACACATTTAAGGTAGGCTCAGTCATTTTTTTTTCAAACTGTGGGTTGAAGAAAAAAAAATTTTTGATTCCCACATCCACACGTTTGACACTGCCCTACTAACCAGCTGTACTCTGCCCTAATGATTCCTGTTTCTGTACACTGTTCTACTGACCTTCCATCCTCTGCCCCGCAGACATTTTTTTTTACTGCACCCCCGTATCAGATGGGCTAGATCCGGCCCTAAGTGTAGCAGAGTGAAATCGATCAGTAACATACAGTTCAATGTATCGGGGATTGCAAAATAAGTGAGAGGCTCATGGCGCTCACATATCTTTGAACAGCCCCTACATTCTCCTCATCTTGCTCGGAATATAGGCTGTCAGTATTGCCGGGGTTAACTCACATGTTTGCCTAGTGAGGCACCTGGTTTGTCTGCACCTAAGAACATTTGTTTAGTTAGCTTAGAATTTTAGCCTTCCTTTTAATCAATGCTGCCATTCAATGATTAGCTCAGATATTTAAAGTATAGGCTGTCAACCACTGGTACATATACTGTAGGTGGTGCTTCTGATGTGCTCATGGAATAGTTCTGCTTGTCAAAGAAAATTCATCCAGTTTAGGATTTTAGAAAATAAATAATGCATAAAACAAATACAAGTCATCATGTCAGTTATTTGGGAATACTCAAGGGATACGTTTGCAAATATTTATACAGAAATAGGAAATACTAATTACGTAATGTATGCATGACAAGGGGCTCTTGAAATAAGCTGACCCATCTCTGGTGGGTACCTGGTAAGTAGTGTTATAAAAGATGTAAACTGTTTTAGTTGAAGAACGTTGGTTTAAACCAGTGGTTTCCAAACTACGGCCCTTTAACTACCTTCATCCGGCCCTCGGCGCACTATTCCTCCCCTGATATGAGCCACTATTCTTCCCAATGACACCAACAATGAGGCATACCACTGACACCAAAAATGGGGCACTATTCCTTCCCCTAATACCAAAGATGGGGCACTGTTTACTCCCACTGATATCAGGACAATTTCAACCCTCACTTGTCAGAGTCCGGCCCCCTCAAAGTCTGCCAGACAGTAAACTGGCCCTTTGTCTAGAAAGTTTGGAGACCCCTGGTTTAAACCATGGTGCTTATAAATTTAAATGATGATGGTTTGATCCCCATTTTATACAATTTCTTAGCCAGTCTCCAGATCTTAATCTGACTGAAAATCTGTGGAAGGAGCTGAAAGTTTCAGCCATCAAACCTTAAAGACTTGGAGAGGATCTGCCATCCTCCTGAGATGTGTGCAAACCTGGTGGCCAACTACAGGAAACATCTGACCTCTGTGATTGCCAACAAGGGATTTGCCACCAAATACTAAGTCATGTTTTGTGAAGGGGATCAAATACTTATTTCCCTCATGAACATGCAAATCAGTGCATAATTTGTTAGACATGCATTTCATTTGAATTTTTTGTTGCTGTTCTGTCTCTCAGTGTTACAATACACCTACCATTCGATTTTTAGACTGATCATTTCTTTGTGAGTGGGCAAACATTCAAAATCAGCAGGGGATCAAATACTTATTTCCTTCACTGTACATGTGACACTGCTGCTGCCATAGGTAGGATAGATATGGAAAACAAAGGAAGGGGAGATTGGATTAAGCGAGAAGATAGAGGTGGAAAGCCAAGGGAAGGGGGATGTGTGAGCCAAATGGAGCAAGTGGGTTTTCCTATGTAACCTATACAGGCAAGAAACAGAGTTCTGTTTTTTATTAAAGCCTGACTTTAGCCAAAACATTTTACTTCTGTCTATGACTCATGGTAAAAATCTTCACCTCACTGTGTGTGATGCCTGTTAAAGAAGTGAAGAGCGGGAAAGCACAGACAGCAACAACAATCATTTCTAAACCCCCCCCCCCCCCCAACACACACACTAACAATAATATCACAATTGAAGATTTCTGATCACTTCTTGTGCTTGCAGGAAGTGATAGGAAATATTTCCAACAGGAACAACAAAAACAAGACAGATGTCCTAACACTTTCACATGCTATTAAAACAATGGTAGAATTACAAATGTAATTTACTCTGGACAAATAATGAGGCAGATTATTGCTGTCTAGTTGATAATGAAAGCATACTTTGCTATTAAGATTATTTCCAAACCCTTCAGACTGCTTGAACTAGGATTGAAGGCAGTCCTAAAGTGTTCCATACCTGAAGCCTGAGGAAGATCTGAGTAAATGGTTCCATTCTAACAAGGTAAGATGCCACAATCATAGCAGAACTGTAATGGGTTCCATAGTGGTACGCTGGTGTCTCCCCTGTAAGAAAAGAGTTTCTGGTTTACTAAAGTATCCAAAATATGATACTGCCACTTCCATGGTGAACATTTTTACAAAACATTCTGTCTGCTCCACTTTTGTAAATCCCCCCAGTGAACATTTAAATTATAGTTTAATTTTAATCTGTGCAAGAAAATAAATATATTAATCATATGTACTAAAATAAGGTAAACTTAAAAAAAAAAAGACCAAAAAAGTAAGCATGTGTTAATTTACATTTTTTAATTTTAGGACCTTACCATTAGGATCCTCCCAGTCTTTGTATCGTTTCTTATACTGTGCAAGCCTGTCATCAGTCTGGGCTCCCATTGGCTTAGAAAGATTTCTAAATGTTTTGGGATTTGTCAAATCCAGCTCCTTCAATAAAAATATCAAACATTTTACCATTAACAAATTGTTCCATTTTCCAAATCAATTAAAATTGCCTGGTTTTGTGAAAAAAAGACTGATAGACTGTATGTTGTCATTATCTTAAATGTCCTTGCAGAGGTTTAACAAATAGCATCTGGGGTGTGTTCCTCATTATGTCCCTCATCATATTCAGGTATGCCTTTCCGCCAACCCAATAAGCCATTAGCCATAAGGGCATCTAAACATCAGGGTAAGTCCAGCACTCCTAAATGGGAAAATGGGAAATTAAATTTGCACTTCTCCCTGACGAACTACCATATCTGTGAATTATAGGGCAAAAGAGTATAGTACACTTATCACTACAGGGGAAATGGTACATGTTGGTGCTTGTCCTAGGAAAAAAAAATAAATAAAAAAAAATAAGACACGCCCTAGGGGAAAAATTACCAAAACATATAAAAAAGAAAAAAATCTACTGTCAACTTATGCACAGAGTTTGCATTTGTCAGTATTAAACACTATATATTTTATTTTCAAAAAGTGCAATTCCCCTGAGGCAGAGTCAAATCTACATGTATGATGCCTGCCCATATTCATTTCAGTACTATGTAAGGTACAGTACTGTGGAAAAGTTTTAGACAGGTGTGAGAAAAAATGCTGTAACTTAAGAATGCTTTCAGAAATAAAAGTGTTATTAGTTTGTTTTTTTATCAGTTAACAAAATGGAAAGTAAATGAACAGAAGAGAAATCCAAATCAAATCAAAATGTAGTGTGACCACTTCTTCAAGGTACACTTGCACACAGTTTTTCAGTTTTTGAAGGAACTTAGCAGGTTATTTGTTCCAAACATCTTAGAGACCTAACCACAGATTTTCTGTGGATGTAGGCCAAGATCAGGGTTCTGTGGGAGCCAAATTATCAGTTCCAGGACTCTTTGTTCTTCTTTACACTGAAGATAGTTCTAAATGACATTGGCTGCATGTTTGGGGTCATTGTGCTGTTACAGAATAAATTTGGGGCCAATCACATGACTCCCTGATGGTATGGCATGATGGATAAGTATCTCCCTGTATTTCTCAGCTTTGAGGACACCATTGATTCTGACCAAATCTCCAATTCTGTTTGCAGAAATGAAGCTCCAAACTTGCAAGAAACCTCCACCATGCTTCACTGTTGCCTGCAGACACTCATTATTGTACCTCTCTCCAGCTCGTCGCAAACAACCTGCCTCCTACTACAGTCAAATAGTTAAAATTTTGACTCCCCAGTCCAGAGCACCTGCTGCCATTTTAATGCACCCCAATTCATATGTTTTCATGCACAGTTAAGTCACTTAGGCTTGTTTCCCTGTCTTATGCATGAAAATATTTGATTTGGATTTCTCTTCTGATCATTTACTTTCCATTTTGTTAATCTATAAAAATAAACTACTAACACTTCTATTTCTGAAAGCAATCTTAATTTACAGCATTTTTTCACATCTGCTTAAAACTGTTGTGCAGTACTGTACTTCACGAGGGAGGGCCTAAAAATGCGGGGAGCATGTATCAACACAACCTTACTGCTGTCCCAAGTGGTAGTTTGCGAATTGTGTGTGTTTGTTTGTTACATTACTAACAAATATTCATAGTAGTATTTTTCAGGTATATCCAACATTTTGGGTTGCCACCACAAAAGGAGTAGAGGGAAATCTACTGATGGGAACACTCCGATAAGAAGATAAACATGAAGCGGTTTTTACCCTCCTCTACTTGATCCAAAATTTAAAAAAGTTTTGCCTTTAGACATACATTAAAAAATTAATGTGGATTATGTAAAACTGGGCATGAGATTCCTTGAGCCCCAAGCTCCAATTACATCAATAATTTAGCCACTCTGGAGGTAACGCGGAAGAGCTCTGTTCTCCTAATTTTAACCTTGTCATGGTTCTGATAAAAAGAAAAACTGAAAATAAAGTGGTTGTAAACCTCAGACATGAAATCTGAAAGAAGCACATACTTCTGTAGTGTTTACTTGCCTCTCTCTAAAGCATTAAGTGTCATTTCTCCCTGCTTTCTTTTTCCTCTGCTATGCGCATGAGTCACTTCTGACAAGTTTTCCTGACACCATGAACTAAAAAGGTGACAAGGGGGAAGGACCTGTGATTGACAGCCTCAACTCTGTTCCTGTGTGCTGTGTGAATTGGGTTGTGCCCCTTCCCTCCTGTCGGCTCTCAGAGTTCTTGCACAGTGTGTAACTGCAGTTCCCCACCCCTTACTTTGTGAGTCTGTGAAAAATCCTTTTCATCTCTGAGTTTTACAAGGATGTACAGGACAAACGGCTGCAAATAAACAGTTACAACATATATAGGAGGCTTTGTTTTACCTCTGTGTAATCACCTGAGGCTAATCACTTCACTGGGTATAAGTAAGGCTGGCCATAAATGAGCTGTTTATCGGCCAAATTGTCGGCTGATAAACGAAAAATAGGTCGGCCCCGTTGCCGATGCTGCCACCAGTTTTTTGTGGATTTTCCAGCATGACCGATAAAAATAAATGAGAAGATCCGCGAAAAAACGGCCGACGGGCTGGCCCCACTAACGACGTGAATATCGGCCGATTTTTCGTGCAGACAAAAATTCGGCCGATAAACGACCCATCTATGGCCTGCATTAGAGTTTACAACCACTTTAAGATAGACAGAACACTTCCATGGATTTTTTTTTTTCAGCTGAAATGGAACCCTGATGGCCTCCCATCATAACGATGAAGCACAGTCCTGATACTTTTGAGTTCATAAAAACTGTTATATAATATTGAATTTTTAAAAAAATTTTATTTTAACTTTTTCTATCAACAGATTAGGGTAAATTTGACTGCCCTTGCAGGTCTATAAGCCTGGGCAAATGCTAGTGTCAATGCAGTTTACATACCCCACTACAGAAATCATGCTTGCACTGACAAAAGTATACACATTCACAAAAGCAATATACAATGTGCTAAATGGCTTTGTATTTATCCATGCTAAAAGAGAGCAGCTGTGCCCAGCTGCGGAGGAGATCAAAGACATGATGCTATTCTAATCCGAAATCATTTTATGATTATTGTTCATTTTACCATTTTTTCAACAGCATGATAGTTTTTATAGAATATTCACAAGCTTGTCTTTTTTTATTAAATAATCAGCGAAGCAGTATTAGAAAGCAATCATTACCTCAGAATCATAATCTGCCAGGATCCAAGGAAAGACAGGGTACTGCATAAGGTCATTATATGATCGGCCTGCCAGAGTATTTAAGTGCATCAGGTACTGGAAATTGCTGATTTCTCCCCTCTGTGAAAAGACAAGAACGGAAAATTAACCAAAAAGCAGAATCCCCCCCCCCCAAAAAAACCCAAAAAACATTCAGTTTGGATATTGTATGGAGCTTATCTCGAAGGTGATGCTAGGAGGTAAAATGGCACATAAATCACCTAGCAGCCAAGAGATGAATCACACTGAGTGGTGATTTACCCCAGCGCCAGATCTAACTCAAAAATCAGCAAGGCACTGAATTCTATTCAAGCATGATTGCACAACAAACAGGATCAGACAGAAATGAACAAACAGAATCATACAGGCTGGATGATGAGCCTTCTTTACTGCTGGGCCAGTAATATTCCAGGCCATTACTAAACCTAAATACATGTAATCTCTTTACATCAATAAACTATGACAATGCTCATCTTGGAATGTAGTGTCTGGACACCAGTATGTAATGCTTGCTTTTAAAGATCCAGTAAAATTGTGGATTTTGTCTAGTGTGCCAATCACCCTTCCTTTGCAAAAGTAAAATACTCAGCTTACTTGGTTAGAAACTGAATTTTATTATAAACTCTAGCATTACATATTCCAGATAACAGGCTGCACACAGGGGCGTATCTACCGCGAAGCAAACAAGGCATTTGCCTAGGGCAGCAATTTTTAGGGGGGCCTTGAGAGCAGCGGCGAACAGAGCCATACAGGGCGCCAGCAGAGGGGGTACCTTCGATACTCTTGCAGTGGCCTGGAGGACGGCAGGAGGATCGATGTGGGGGAGCGCAGTTGCAGAGCGATGCTCCTGTACCTCTCCCTCCAGCACCTGACGATCCGGGACCAGGGGACCGCCTGGAGCAACGAGAGGAGAGGATCCGAAGGAGGTGAGCTGTGCGGTGGTCTGTGGCATCTCCCTGTCTCCCTCCCTGCACTGACAGACCATATGGGACTGCACACACCTCCCCCCGCTCCTCCTTCCTGCTGCACGGAGATCAGCAGCCCTTGGAGGAGGTGTGTGTGAGGTGAAGAGAGAGAAGGGAGGAGGGAAGAGAGGGGGAGAGAGAGAGAGGGGGGGAAGAGAGGAGAGGGGAGGGAAGAGAGAGAGGGGGAGGGAAAGGAGAAGAGAGGGAAGAGAGAGGGGGGGGGAAGAAGAGAGAGAGGGAAGAAAAGAGAGGGGGGAAGGAGGGAAGAGAGAGAGGGGGAGGGAAGAGAGAGAGGGGGGGAGAGGGGAGAGGGGGGAGGAGAGAGGGGAGAGGGAAGAGAGAAAGGGGAGGGAAGAGAGAAAGGGGAGAGGGAAGAGAGAAAGGGGAGAGAGGGAAGAGAGAAAGGGGAGAGAGAAGAGAGAGAAAGGGGAGAGGGAAGAGAGAAAGGGGAGAGGGAAGAGAGAAAGAGGAGAGGGAAGAGAGAGAGGGAATGAGGGGAGAGAGAGAGAGAGGGAAGAGAGAGAGAAGAGAGAGAGAGAGAGAAGAGGAAGAGAGAGAAGAAGGGAGGGGGGGATAAGAGGAAAGAGAGAGAGAGAGAGAGGGAATAGAGGAGGGGGGAAGAGAGAGAGGGAGGAAAGAGAGGGAAGAGAGAGAGAGAGAGAGGAGGGGGAGAGAGAGGGAAGAGAGAGAGAGAGAGAACTAAGAGAGAGGGGGAAAGAAGAGAGAGAAAAGGAGGAGATGGAAGGAGAGAGAGGGAAGAGGGATGAGAGAGAGGGGAGAGAGAGGAGGAGGGGAGAGGGGAGAGAGAGAGGGGGAGAAAGAGGGAAAGAGAGGAGAGAGAGAAAGAGAGAGAGAGGGAAAAGAGAGAGGGGGAAGAGAGAGGGGAGAGAGAGAGAGAGAGGGGGGAAAAGAGAGAGGAAAAGAGGGGGGGGAAAGAGAGAGAGGGGGGGGAAAAAGAGAGAGGGGGAAAAAAGAGAGAGAGGGGGAAAAGAGAGAGAGAGGGGGAAAAGAGAGAGAGAGGGGGAAAAGAGAGAGAGGGGGGGAGAGAGACGAGAGGGGAAAGAGAGAGAGGGGAAAAGAGAGAGAGGGAAAAGAGAGAGAGGAAAAGAGAGAGAGGGAAAAGAGAGAGAGGGAAAAGAGAGAGAGGGAAAAAGAGAGAGAGAGGGAAAAGAGAGAGAGGGAAAGAGGGAAAAGAGAGAGAGAGGGGGGGAAAAAGAGAGAGAGGGGGGGGGAAAAGAGAGAGAGGGGGGGGAAAAGAGAGAGAGGGGGGGAAGAGAGAGAAGAGGAGAGGGGAAAGAGAGAGAGAGGGGGGAAGAGAGAGAGGGGGGGGGGAAAGAGAGAGAGGGGGGAGAAAAGAGAGAGAGGGGGAAAAGAGAGAGAGGGGGGGGAAAAGAGAGAGAGGGGGGAAAAGAGAGAGAGGGGGAAGAAAAGAGAGAGAGGGGGGGAAAGAGAGAGGGGGGGAAAAGAGAGAGAGGGGGAAAAGAGAGAGAGGGGGAAAAGAGAGAGAGGGGGAAAAGAGAGAGAGGGGGAAAAGAGAGAGAGGGGGAAAGAGAGAGGGGGGGAGAGAGAGGGGGGAGAGAGAGAGGGGGGAGAGAGAGGGGGGAGAGAGGGGGGGAGAGAGAGGGGGGAGGGGGAGAGAGGGGGGGAGAGAGAGGGGAGAGAGAGGGGGGAGAGGGGGGACTGCAATGACAGCGCACTGCTAACTCCAACCCAAAGCCATGCCCCTAACATATTTCACCCACAGCAGGGCTTCATCGTGATTTGGAATTGAACCTCTTCGGTGTGGGGTCTGTTATTTGGATGCTGAACTACAGTGGAGCAAGAGTGGACCTCCAGGGTCTTGGCATGCGGCTGATTGCAGGGAATCGAGGAGGATACAACTGACCTCTGAGCAGAAAAAGGGGTTGGGTTCATTCCACATTACATAGCTTTGGTAAATGTACAGACAGTACTGCCAGGATGTAGCCATTTTAAGGAAAAAGGAGAGATTAAATAATTTCTTTTAGCTGTAATCTAGCTAAAAGATTGATATAAAATTCAAACATTGTGACACATACAGTGGGTACTTTTTCATTACTATCTGGCCTTTTTCTAGCTGGAGCTAATTTCTCATTGCCAGCATGCCTCAAATAGTTGCAATAAATTATATTTAGTCAATAAATGGTACCACTTTAAATCCAAGCTTCTACATTTATAGATATACAAATGAGTAGAGTAGATATGAGGTCTGGATGGTAAAGCAGTCCATAGATTATGCAATTTTCTTTCCTTCCACCATGGGTGGAAGGAAAGAAAATTATATGTGAAAAAACTTTCACGCTAGATGCATGCAAATTATACAAAAATTAAATAAATATAATACAATACACCAAAATAAAAACTGCTGCCACCTTAAGTGAAATAAATCATATAAACAACAAATGAACCCTAAGCGATTCAGTGGGTGAATAAACAAATTAATAAGTGACTAATTAATGAAAGTCCATAAATTCATTCCAGCGTGATAATCTTCTATTTGTTTCCCAAAAACAGAAGCACCATGTGTGCAAGAAAAAAGCGTTCCCCTTTCCGGTGTACACTCACCAAATTTCCATGCCTCCCACCCTCATGGTCGGCATATATCGTTTTAAGGAACTCCAAATTAAAAGAAAGTTTGCCAATATCAGTATATCCACAATCCTCCTTGCTCCCAGAAACTTTTGCAGAAAATAACTTTTGGTTTCAGATTTCTTTCTCACCCCAATTTTTGATTTGAGGGACTTGTCTTCATCACCACCAATCTCAGTGCCTGTGACCGGCTCTCGGAGTCCTGCGTTCTGGTGGGGGGCGCTGCTCTCCTAAGTCGGAGTTGTTGCTCAGTTTGTACTGCTGTGAGCAGCGCTTTTTACATATATATTGAACAGTCACATCAGTCCCTAACCCTCAAGGGGCATACAATCTAAAATCCCTAACTTAACTTCATACATACAAATACTAGGGCCAATTTAGACAAGATCCAATTAACATACCAGCATGTCTTTGGAGTGTTGGAGGAAACCGGAGTACCTGGAGGAAACCCACTCAGGCACAGGGTGAACATGCAAACTCCAGACAGGTGGTGCCGTGGCTGGGATTCGAACCAACAACCCTAGTACTGCCAGGTGGAAGTGCTAACCATTTAGCCACTGTGCTGCCCATACAATGAACATAGTCAGTGTTCATTGGGGAATCTCTCCCACAGAGCTATTGTGTTCTGCTGGCAGAACACAATGATTACTGCTGGTAGCTAAAGCAGCCGGCAGTGATTGCATTAAAAAAAAATCTGAAAGGTGGGTTGTCCTTAAGTCGATCAATGGATCAACTTCAGTGCAACCAGCCTGATCATAGATGGATAGCATCTCGGCCAGTCCCTGAACTGGCCAAGATCCGATCCACTTATTTCCGGCTTAAGAGTAAATCTATTAAAACGCAGGTTGATCATCCACATTATTAGGAAATCAATTTTACCATTCTTTATACAAAGCATGCACTTCATTTACCTCCCATCTCTGTGTAACTGATTTTTCTCCCACTAAAGTGCTCAGAAGCCCAGACCTATAGGCAAGAGGGAAGCAAAAACATGGATTAATGTCTACAAATCTTTTAGTCTAATATGGTGACTTAGTTTATATCACAGAGAATGTTTATCTTTCCATTTCCATCTAAATACTCTGCAAAGCATCAAACATGTCTCAAGGGTATACTATAACAAAATAATTATGATTGACTAATGATTTAAATTATAAGCATGTCTACTTTATAGTGTAGGAATTGACAGTTGCTGAAGACATTTTAATTAAACAGTAACGACATGCAAGATTTTGTTGTAAAGAGCGAAGCAAAAAAAACAACAGATCATTTTTTAACAAGCTAAATCCTTCAAAAATGCTCTTGGTGGTGGGAGTAAAGAAAAACTTTATTCTTCTTAACTGCCAAATATGTACTTTAATAAAGATGGAGGAAATTCTTTAGTAGCAGATTGAAGGAAAAGTGGACTATCAGAAAAACCTAAAAGATCAGTGATCCAACAGATCAGTGAACCTAGGCCAATAATTTACATGCCACATACCACTCATTAGCAGATACTGTTTAAATTTAAGGCAATTTTGCAGGCGATTCTTAAAACCACTATGAGCTTTATGCCATAATGAACTACTATGCAATTTATACTAGCACATTGTCGAAGACTTATCAAGCAATCTCCTCCAGAGCTGCAGTGCCAGCACTCTCAGTTGTGATGGTCACTTCCTTTTTCGCCCCGGTATTCCTTGCAGGTTGGGACTCTTCGACTGGTACACTAGGCCACCATGGCAATAAACATCCTACCTGTCACTGTTTTTTTTTCTAGTTCAATTCCACTTTAAAGCCCAAATTCACCCAAAATATTTTTTGAAAAATGTGGACAGAGTGGATGAGAGCTAGGACCTAATAATTTTACTGCTGTCCATTTCCCCATTAGAAGATAGCTTCGCTTCCTGTTCTGTCTGAAAGCCATCTAGGAAATTAAGCAAATTCTTCCAATGAGGACAAAGACAGAAATAAAAGACCAGTGGTTATTTTTAATTGCTATTATAGGCACCTTTGTACCTTTTGGGGAGTTTTCCTCTCATGTTCCTGTCTGTTATTGATCAAAATACACAAAATGGGGTGAAATCTAACATTGTCACATGCAGCAAAAAAAAAAAAAAAAAAAAATAGTTAGTTGTGCACGAGACCCTTGAAAACATATTGTTAAAACTTCATATTGTTTGTTTTCAGATATTGCTAACTACATCCTAATTATTATACATTATTATACAGTATTTATAAAGCGCCAATAGTTCACTCAGCGCTGTACATTACAAAGGGGGACAGAACATGTGACAGAACAATACCAATACAATGCAAAACATGAGGGGATTGAGGGCCCTGCTCTTTCGAGCTTACAATCTAGAAGGGACGGGATAGTGGTACAGGCGGAGATAGCTGTGGGGGATGGAATGGTAGGAAGAGTGGAGGAGGTCGGCAAGTTAGCAGGGGGTGAGGTAGGCTTCCCTGAAGAGATGGGTTTTCAGGGTACGCCTAAAGGAGAGGAGAGTAGGTGATAATCTGATGGGTTGGGGAAGGGAGTTCCAGAGGATGGGTGACACCCTGGAGAGGGTCATCCTAATGACAATAACCCTTTTTCTTTTTTAATGCTATAGTTCCTAATAACCTATGAAGCTGATCTCCACTTCATCTTGCCAAAGGACAGTACAGATCATACAGTAGAGGAGCAGAATATGCCCCAGTACACCATGGGGATTAATTTCTTCAGCTGCAAAAGGCAGAGGAACAAATTGAAAAGATATGACCAGTAATAAAAAATTGAAAGAGGTTCTTACCCTTTTCCACTCTAAACTAAAAATGCTTTGTCAGAAGCTGGACTTAATTGTGGATTAACACATGTGCAGTGCGGACTGAAGATCAGGTTTGCACAGCTAATTAACACAGTAGTTGTTCAGCGGTTCATGTCAGGTTTACATCAGGGTCAGGACAGGTTTATATCAGGTTCAGGTCAGGATTTTATCCTGTTCATAACTGATGACATGTGCAGTTTAGAAACGGTTTCCATAGATGTCAATAGCCTGTAATCCGCACTGCTGCAGAAATCGTACAGAACTCTCTTTCAATCCGCACAGAATCCTCACTGCCAGTGCACTGCATATGTGAACAGGCACAATAAGAAGCAATGTTACTTCACATGTCATGTGGACTGGATGCGGTTCAAACTGCATCCAATCCACATATATGTGAACCGGCATTTAGAGATGAATTCCAAGTATAATATATTTTTACATAGTTACATTGGTCCAGCTTTGCTGTCACGGCTTTGCTGCTCTACCTCATCCAATCAAACTCTTTGTATTCATTCAGAAAATGCAAAACGTTCCCTGAATGGCACCCAGGCCAAGTGGCTTACCTCTTGGTTTTACAATACAGAAGGTCAGCCACTCTGTACAGGACCCGAAAGCAAGTAGAGGTCACTGGTCTACTGGTGTCTACTACAAACGATTTTCAGCTTCCAGAGGCATTGGCCAGATATGGTGTATACATAGTTACAATGGTCCAAGCTGGGGCAATGTAAACATTTATAAGATATCCATCCATACCTGGAATTCTTCTTTGAGAGCATTTTGTTAGTCCTGCCTTCAGCACACATGAATGATGCCGCACTAATGTATGATCCAACCAATCTGTCCCTCATATTAAATGGTAGCAGAAAGTTCATATGGAAAGGGTGAAGAATGGAGGTGAAATGGATTAAACTTAGAATAAAATGGTACAATGCTAAGAGAATTAAAAAAAAAAAAAAAAAAATCAAGCCTCTTAAAAGGAAGGTTCTTTAGCCTAGTTCAAAGAAAACCACTGCACATTTTTTGTGAAAGCCTAGCTGAAAAACGTAATTTCATGAAATCTATTTACAAATACAAATTAGCTGGGTTAATTTTTTTATTTTTTTACCTCTGCTGAAATACAATGAAAATGAATTGGGGCATTAAGTAGGTAAAAACTGTTGGACTTTCTACTGCTCATTAAAATGTCAAAATATAATTTTGGCCTTTTTTTATAGAGGCCCTAGAACATTAGAGAAACCATTCCAATTATCAGACAGAAGTGTGAAACTAGACGATTAAAAGTGGTTCAGAACACAATGTAACCTCTAGTGAAGCATCCCTTTCATTTCTCTTGACAGAATAATTATACATTTGTCAATGTAAATTTTGGAAACGAAAGCCTTGATGATTATAGTGAGAGCCTGATGAACATGTCTTCTTATCTATAACATTAAATCTGATCCTCTATTTTAAGGGTTTTATAAATAGGATTTAAAATTCACTGAAGTATTTTACTGTTCTCTTTTACTTTATTGTCTGAAGTAACAGCATTTATCCAACATTTGCAAACAGAAATTTAATATTAAACAGATAGCGGAATCAGTCAATTTTTAAAAAGAATTCACTTTTAACAAGGTACGTGTGTCTGAAATGCGACTAAGCATCATTTTACACACAAATTTGATTTGTGTAAAACTATGTAATGCCCCAGCACAGCAATATTAAATCAAGAAAAAAAAAAATCTATTATACAATATGAGCTTTGTTCTGCTCCTGTATGATTTACGCTGATCAGAGTTTCAGGTACTGGCAGCGTTCTCATCCCTCATAAAAGAGTACTAGGGGCATAGTACCTAAAGCCTATTCCATGTAATTTGTCATATTTAGAGCCCATTCACACTGCCCGCACACACTAAACGTTCTGGTTTAGTGTGCGGTCAGCTGTCACTTTTGGACCTTTTTTATTTTCCTTGCTAACTTTATTTGAAGTGCACAAAATGACACTTCATTCATGTCACTGTACAGCAGCATACTTCCCTGTGCGCTGTGAGGTACCTGCCTGTCCGCTGTTCTAAAATGCAGTATGTCTTCATGTCAGTGTGAACATGAATCCTAGAAAAAAATTGTTTTCTATGTACCCTAGCGGTGACTGGTCCAGTGTAGAAAAATGTGTGAATGAGCACTTAAATTTCCAAGGCAGACTGTATCATACTTGTGGTTGTGATAATATTTTTTTATCAAACTTTCTGAAAGTAAAAGACAGCAAAGAAACCTGTAGAGAGGTGTGACTGGGAAAAGTCTTCTTGCATAACAGAAAGGGGTTCTCAGATCACGAAATTACTGACTGGGATAGAGCAATACAGTACAAAAAATGCAATAATAACAAAACTGTATTTCTCTGTTTGCGCACATTTTTGCGGTTTCATTTGCGAGTTTTACTGGGCGGTACCTTTAAAGCTGAACTGTGTTCTACATATGTAGTCTAAATACAAGAATCAGGTGTATTCTTATTTTAAACTTTGTATTCAACACAGTGATTATATCACTGCTACTTTCACAGGGTGGATTTATATCCTTAGTGGCTATTTAAAATTAATATTCAAAGAAAAGGATTTGTGTCCAGAGTTTACCTTTAAAGCGGTCGTAAAACCTTACATATACCCAGCGATGCAGTGATCTGGAGGAGACTTCTCTTCTCTACACGCAAAGTGCTGAATTATAGGGGGGAAGATGTGGACACCATAGAGAAGGAGCTTTTGCTTGCAGAACCCCATGGATCTTGGAATTCTACTTCTAATCGAGAGAAGGAAGATCTGTTGCTGCATTTACGGAGGAGGGACCCACCATTCCTGTAACCGGACCAGCTTTACTTCCCTCTGGATTGATGACCCATGAGCTTTTAATGCACACTGCGTTTATGTGTCTTACTTCTGGTGAGTGCGTTTTCCAGCCATTTCCACACGGATCACCAATTCTGAATTCACATCTGACACTGGATACGTTCTTATGAACAAGACTTTTAGTGGACAATTTTTTGTCATATTGTCACTATTTCAGCGCTGCACTATTTTATGTTATTGCTTGTAAGTTTTATTGGTTGCTTAGAGTGCTCAGCCGCTATCAGGATTAGCGCTCACTGCTGTTGTTTTCTTATTTATGAATTATATGGCTTGTCTGAGTTTTCAGGAAGCAAGGGGTGGGGAGCTAAGTTACACTCAGTGAGGAGAGCTGATTGGAGAGAAGGGGCTAACAACGGCCAGGAACGTAGAGGCAATATCTGTGGCTCAGGCATGGTTTTAACTATGAAGGTAGACGTCCCCTTTACAATAGTACAGTTTTGGCTTGTGTTTGTTTTAAAATCCAAAAGAAGCCACACATCCTGGAATGATGCTGAGAAGATATACATACCCTTGCTCTACACTTGTGTTTGGGCGCTGCTGTCCGGAAACAGATTCTGAACTGTCTGTCAAAGATGGCACAACTGCCAAAAACCTGCACAACAAAACATAAAACGTCAATCATTGGAAATTAGCACATCTCATATACTTGAATTGTACACATTATAAAATAAAGAATCTCAGTAAAATAATAGAACGCTCTGGTCTCTGCACAGGCTATGTACAGCACAGTGAGGATATCACTGCTACTTTTATATGGTAATAACTGGGGTTTCCAAAGGCCTTTGGTACTCGCAAAGTGGATTTATATCCTTTCTGGCAATTAAGGAATATATTTAAAGTAATTTTTGTGCCTGGAGTTCACCTTTATTTCAAAGCTTAGTGTTTGATCTACAGGATAGTACATGGCATAAGTACCTAGCTGTTGGAGGAAAAAACCTTGGTAGAACTTGTGTTTGAAGAAGCAGAAAATTGTTACATAATAATGTAAGCCAAGTAAAGCATTGTACTAGGTCACGCATCAGCCGAATGATCAATAAAAAAGTGATCTCTTTTGGTGGCCACCCAAGTCGGAGGAGATTAAAAAAACAGAAAATTGTATATGTTTTGTATTCTCATTTCAGCCTGCAAAGAGAAGCTTTACGCTTAAAGGATAAGTTCACCTTTGTACAAAAAATAATAAATGCACTTTTTTTTTGCAGGCAAAAAAATTTGCATTTATTATTTTTTGTTTCTGGATCCTCTAAAGTATTGCACCATTGATTAGCAGATCGCTTATGTCATGCAGGTCTCTTGCAGGGCTGTCAGTGTATTTGCTTGCCTGTATGGGATGTGCGGGCAAGCAGATATACTGGCAGGAAGAACCAACTAACTACCAAGGTGCTCCACAGCGCCGTGGTAGTTCATTGGGAAATACAAGCCGACAGCCACAGACTGTTGGGACTTATAGTTCATTCATTTACAGAACACTATGAATTACGACGCGATTGGGCGGGCAGAGCCCCCCCATGACTGCGAAAAAAAAAAAAAAAAAAAAAAAAAAAAAATACACGACAGCTAGCAGGGAGGAGAAGATCCCCCCTAGCTGTCACAACAGGGAGCAGTGGGAGCGGTCCATTCGTAACATGAATATGGGTGTAACATGTTACGAAAAAGTTATCTTCTCCTTAAGTTTGTGTTTTTCAGGCTATCCTTCTCTACTTAGTTTTAGTTTACAGAGGCCAATAACCCAAGCACTAATTTACACCCAAGACGATGAATCAGAGGAACATGTTTTTAATCACTGATGTGGTTAAACAGAGGGAATATGAAAGTAAACAGTGCTCTTAAAAAAACCCATAATGCTCTGCAACCTTGACTCAAGGGTGCAGCCCATATTTAATGCTTAATGTGTAACAAAGAATTTCTATACAAATTAAAAAAACACCTAAGATATTAGTTTTAAAATAGTAGAGGCTTGCAAAAATTACCCCAAACCATTATAATTTCCCTTTTTACGAAATGCATTCAAAGGTCCATAGGTCTGCTGCGTAGAAAAATTTGCACATACTACCCATTATTCATCTCAGTGGAAAAGAGCTGCATTGTAGTTAAACACTACAATACTGGTTTAGGATTTATATTTCACCAATAAAGTGAGAAGTGCACTTTACATAGACATACCTTTGGTAAACTTTGTTTCGAACACCTTTTTGAAAAGCTAGCAAATAGTTGCGCCCATCTGCTGAGAACAACTTCTACTGCAATTGGCTGCATGTGAAACAGACAAAAGATCACATTTAAAAAAAACAATAATAAATATTACTTTCACTAAGATTTTATTGCATTTAAACATATACAGACATTGTAAAATGATCAAGTCATAATCAACTATGAAAAAGACGAGAACCAAAAGAAAGCATATTGTCGTATCGGGTGTTTGAGCATTAAGATCAGTTTACACTATACACAAGGCATTTCATGTGAGATTTATGAACAGTAAGCATAATACTAATAAATATGAATAAAATGTTATACATGGATCACTGAAACAGTGAAGTGGAGCGTGAATTTTTTTTTTTTTTTTTCATTCATGAGACATGACTTTGTCATGTCTGGCTCCATAAATGAACAGCTGGTCATTAGCTGCTAGCAAGCAATTCTTAATCACATATGTATGTATGAATATGTAACTGCCAGGAAGGCCTCACATGTTACATATTTACACATGGGCAGCAAAGAAAGCCAGCTCATTTGTCCATACTGAGATTGTGCCTAGAACTACTTCTTTCAGCCAGCAAGAAATGTTCATCAAACATGCATTAATTATGGGAAAACACATATGCCGACATAAAAACTGCTCATTTTATATATACACATCACTGATGTGATTTTATATACACTGCCACTATTTAGAGCAATATTTACCAAATGCAGTACTGGCTCAAGAAGAGTTGGTGGGGCTGGCACAGTATCTGCATCTTATGGTTCTCCAAATAATAACAGACATTACCCCTTTTCATTCTCTGCTAAGCATACACCCAAATGGTGTATGGAAAGTTGTAGGATGTAATCACCATGCTAACCCCTAACGTAGGCAGTTCTAGGCAGCAGTTGTACAATAATGAGGTACTAGATTGTATTTACAATACAAGTCTGATACAGATACAGTCTGTAAAGCTATCCTTTAAATGACAAATAAAGCTCCAAAACAAAACAGACATATGGCATTATAGTATGTTATAATGAAGATAGCAAGAATGTAAAAGCACAGAACCCATTTAAAAAGTGTGAAAAAGCTTTATGTGAACTATAGCTATATTTAGTATTTTATTTCTATAAAAGCATGAAAGAATTTCATTAGGAACGATCAGATGCGGACAAGAACATTTTTTCACATACTACTAAGTGCTTGCCTGGTAAGTTCTTAGTAGATAGAAGCACAAGGTCTCCACTTATCTTTTCTGAGTAGCAGAGATGAATAGAAAATTATCTGATATGATTGTGCTCACTACCCATGCACTCAATGTATACAATTGCTGGGACAGTTGGGTCATGTAATAATTTTTCTTAACATGTACTGTTATCTAGAGGCTTCCCTGTTTTATTTTTTTTTATTTTGTATTCATAAGCAAAGGATGGGGAAGTTCTTTAAGTATATTTCACTCGTGATGATCTACCTGTAGAAGATATCTTCTTTTGTGAACTTCTTTGATATCTTCATATGCGAAGATGCTGCAAGTTCTTTTCAGCTGACTGGGACCTTGTCTTGCTCCACGAGGAATGATTGGTTCATGCATACTAAAGAAAGAAAGGTCTGTTAGGTCTTAAGAAAGAACAAAACAACTAATATGGCCAGTGTTAACAAGCCTTTAGTTACTTCAAAACTGCTTCTCTCCTTATAGAAGTCTATAGGAAGTATAAAAGTACTTGAAGCAGGTCAAATATACCCACAATTAATTCAGAATGATCTTAGAAGCATCTAAAACCAACATCAAAGGCACCCTGCATTTAGCTATCCAAAGACCTCTGACATTGGTCCAAAAACATTACAATATAACAACCGGAAAAAGCATACAGTATTGGTTCAACACACATTCACTTCTACCACACAGCAACCCCTGCCCCCCCAAAAAAAGTATTATTTAGGTGCATGTATGCTTATATTTAGGCATTGATTTCTTTACAATTTAATAAAAATGCTTCTTAAACCACAGGTAAAAAAAAACTGTTGTAATATCTTGAAGATTGTTTCCCTATGCCAGCTAGTGATATTCCCAGTGCCGAGGCTCACTGACTGTACTTGACTGGTACTGGCATTGTAAGTCTAAAGCTGGGCATAGACAAATCAAAACTAGGTTGGAGAAGCAGGGACAGGCCAAATTTCAATCTGTGTGTTGCTCTCCATGTTTGACAGAAGTCAACTGTTAGATCAACTTCTGTCGAACAGACATGCTGGAAAACTTTTGTTGATCAGTGGCTGCAGTGGGAGAGTCACTGTCAGAATAAAATGTGTGAATGGAGGAATCTGTTTACCAATACCTTCACTACTAGATGTGCCTCTGTGTGCACTGTACAAAATGTATGTAGTTTCGGCTACATACAGTATACAGCAATGTGTTTAGGCAGTGGGATGGGAACTTTAAAGACCAGAACAGAGAAGGGGATAATATGATTGATTTTTCTCAATAAGATGTGCTTATTGTTTAAGTATCCAAGTAATTTTGAATGGCACACGCCAGGGGTGTCCGCTTTCCCCTCAGATTTTTATATTCTCACTGGAACCATTTCTTAGCACAATCAGACGGGACTATGGCATCTCTGGCTATCATAAGGCTTCTGGGATCCACAAGGTAGCTGCTTTCGCAGACTACTTGATTTTCTTCTTGACTGATCCTGTGTCCTTGCCAACCTTGCTCCATTCCATTCGTGTGTTTGGGGCACTTTCCTATTTTCAAATCAATCTATCTTAATTCTCAGCCCTCAATATTTCAGTGCCCCAAGACGTCATTAGCCATCTTCGCTCTTCACCCTTCGTTCCCTTTTCATTGGGCTACTGACTTCATTTGTGATCTGGGAGTCAATATCACCCCTGATCCCACCACTCTTAATATGGCCAATTTTGAACCATTGATTCATTGCATACGCACAGATCTGCTCCATGGGCACTCCCTCACCTTTAGATGGTTTGGGCGTTACAATGCGATTAAGATGACTTTTCTGCCTAGGGTCCTCTATGTCTTACAGGCTTTGCCCATCCGCCTCCCACCCTCGTTCTTCAAAAGGGTACATGCTCTTTTCTGGGAGTTCAGCTTGTCCCATAGGAAGCCCATTCTCCAACTCCTTCACCTTCCCAAGCACCAGGGTGGAGTAGGCCTTCTTGATATTGGAGCCTATTATACGGCGGTCCATCTAAGTAGGCTGGTGGACTGGCACTGTCATACGGCGGTGAAACATTGGGTGGTGATGGAACTGAGGGACATTCAGGGCATGACCAGGAGCTGGCCCTGGATCTCCCTACAGTTGCCTAAAGACCTACCGGACCACCCCACGCTCAGCAGCACTCTGCGGATCTTGCAAGAGACATTCCGCAGCTCTTCCATTTCCCCTTTGCCGTCTCCCATGATCCCCCTCCTGGGAAACCCGGACTTCAGCCGCGACTGTACAATCCTCAGTTTCAACGTTTCACATTCACCGGATGTCTTCAACTCTGGGATTTTTTGGGACCTGATGGTAAACTTTCCCCCTCTGTTTCAGCCGCCACCAGACTTTTGGAATAATCTTCAACTTAGACATTTCCTTCGCCACTGCTCTCGTTCTCCAGCTGCTCATCGCCACCTCACAGAGTTGGAAAGTATCTGCCACAAGAAGGAGCCGATCCGTCATTGTCTTTTTTATGCTGCCCTGATCCGTCCGAAAGAGAACTTCACTCCTACCTTTCTTACTAAGTGGGCAGCTTATCTGATCGTCCATTTCTCTGATATGCAAAATGATAAAATTTTCACTTTGTGCAAACATCATTCATTGCTTCCAAGGTCCAGGAGACCAATCACAAAATTTGGCACGGTGTTAAGAGGGTTTCTACCACCCTACATCGTATTTTTCCCCAGGTTCCGGTACGATCTTGCATATCTTTTGGCCTTGTCCTAAAATCAAAACTTTCTGGCAAATAGTGGCCAGCACCATCAAGCACCTGACGAGTGTCGATGAGGCAGATGACCCAGCAGCGTGTCTGCTGCACCTTACCGACTGTCCCATCAAGAAGTACAAGGCTTCCTTGATGATCCCACTACTGAATGCTAAAGCCTGTATTCCCTAGTGCTAGAGATCTGTGCACCCACCCACAAGGTTCCTCTGGTACTCCAAAATTAAATGAGCTGAGGGACATGAAAGACCTCATGGCCACTCGATACGACCGGGGGAAAGCTTTCCGGAACACTTGGAGACCATGGCAGTACTTTTGTTTATACTGAAGCCTATCTACAGGGGACTTCTCAACCTGGTTGAGGCATGTCGCTTTGACCATGATCTGACCTCGGGTGAAAGAGTCAGTACTCCCTGCATTACTTTGCAGTTTTTGTTTCCTTTCGTGTACTTTTTCTTTCCTCCCTTACTTGCAGGTTTCTTTCCTTCTTACTCTTAACCTACTCTCTCTTCCTTTTTTTCTCACTCTCTTCTTCTTCCCTTCCTCTTCCTGACCCCTGCCCCATTCCTTCCTTTCCCCACCTTAGCCCTGCCATCTATCTCATACAGTTACATAATAGTTTCAGTACAGTTTCGCATGTTGGCGAAAAAACTATGTGGCGCTATGTAAACTTCTTAGGGTTCTTGTTCTTGACCCACGGGATCCCTCTGGTGATCCAGATACTTCTGCTCATGTATGCTATACCAAGTTGCAATTTATAATTTTTATCTTCACTTATTGACATCCACAGTGACCTACTGTTTTTTTCATCTAATCTTAGTCCTGACTATCACTTCTTTTTTGTTTCTGTCCGATATGTAGCTCTTGCAGTTTACTCAATGACATTTCTGATTCGGTTATCTGTATGCCATTTGCTACCATATTTATGCATATATTGTATAATACAACTTCTGGTTAAATAAAAGAATTACAAAAAAAAGTATCCAAGCAGTGCCCAAGTTGCTTTAAAGCATGAAACTATCAGGTGCTTAAAAGTTCCACCACAAAGATGGATTTAGACTGGATTCCCACCTATGTTTAACAACGAATGAGCCACTATTCAAAGCTTATGGACATGCATGAAACTGCATGCTAATGCACAAAAATATGGAGTTGTGTTGAAATGCAATACAAAATGTACTGCAAGAATCGTTTTTATGCAGCTCTATTTACTGCAATATAAAATAACTGTGTGAGCACAGCCTAACCAACCTATAAGTTTTTATGTTACAATATAGCTTCAAGAATGATAATGACTTACTTTACTGGTAGCGTTTCAATGTCACGAATCTCCCTGTTGGCTGTCAAAGTAAACCCATCAACCACATAAAAGTGTTCTTTTCCAAAGAGTAGGAGGCCTTCACCAGTGTCTAAGCCCTGGACTCTTGCACAGCGATACATGTGCTGAATCTAAAAAGATTGAAACAGTAATTTTTTTTATTGCTTTAAAATGGTTCTTGAAAGATTCTTCTGTTTTCCTTGAAAACTAAAAATATACAATAATACAATAGCATGGGCAAATGTAATCCTAGGTATATTTGTGTTCCTCACTTCCCTTTCAATGAGTTATATGAGCAAAACCTAACTTGTTGCTGCATATCCTACGTGTGATGTCTAGTGGATTCATGATGCTGTAGTTTAATAAAACATTTCTGGAGAACAGGTTTATATCCTGTGTTCTGGGTTATTTTAACACATTTTAAATGATAAAGCTTACAGGTCGCAACAAAAATCACCCGCCTTAAAAATGATAACTTTACAAATATTATTCCACTCACTGCCAGCAGGTGGTGCCAATCTGTAAGTTTCTAATGTCCATGTAGTTAACAAAAAACAGTTTAAACGCAGAGCCTAAAAGAATATTGGATGCAGCAGTGTGGGGTTTAGTTGATAAAATATAAGTAACTAACATAGTGTGAAAGCACAACAGACTAGAAAGAAATTAACAAAATAAACAGTCATATTATAAGTCAGTTTATTCACATTTGTAGCCCTGTACGTCTCTGATGTATGTGCAATCTGGTGTGTATTTTCTGACACATTTTAATGCCTGGCTCTTGTAAATATATTGAAGACTCCTCCACAAAAGTTGACACATTAGTACTACAGGTTACAAAATTAATTTGGTCATTTAACAGCCAGGCTACTGGCATTTGTAGAAGGTTCGCAATGGCAGCCCATGAATTATTCTACTAATAGGATTATTTCAAACTGAGAAATATTGGAACTATTTTGCTTTGTAAGGATATTTTTCAACCCCTTCACGCCGGCGCCTCCTTTAAGCGTTTCAGAAGCCGGGAGGCGGGGGCGGGGTTTAGGGTCATGTGACCGCTGTGACGCACCGTCATGGTGGTCGCATGATCGGGAAAGGTCCTGATCAAAAGAGGAGATCGGGACCTTTCCGTGAGTAATGGACATGTGTGCTGGGAGCACGCAGGGCACGCGCTCTTGGCACATATGTCCTTTTTTAATAGAACGCAAATGTATGGCCACTCGGCGTCTAGGCCCAGATGCCGGGAGGCCGCACATTTGCGTTTGGCCGGCGTGAAGAGGTTAATGTACTCACTTGAGTTTCCCAAATATGTAATAACATTACTTTGAATCTCGGCCAGTTCAGCAGGGACCAGCCAAGATTCGATCCATCTTTGGGCGGCTGGTTGTACTAAAAACTGGATACAACCAGCCTGTCTGGTTTTTTGCATGCGATTACTGCTGGTAGCTATAACAAGGTTCCCCACCAGTAGAACAGAATAGAGCTGTAGGAGGGGAATCAAGCAATGGCTACAGGAAAGACAAATCGCATCATCTATGGCTTGCCTTAGTGTTAAACACAATCTCCTCTTTCACCAAACTGATCGCTAAACATGTCAGTTCTCATACATGTTTGTCTTTTATGTACAGTGCCTTGAAAAAGTATTCATACCCCTTGAAATTTTCCACATTTTGTCATGGTTTTGTCATGGTTTTCAAGGCACTGTATACATGAATTAGTGGAGTCCAGTACAATCATCCATTCTACCTTCTCTCCTTCTTCAAGAAGTCTCAGCAGAGTGGTACTATCCATCTTCTCTTCTTCATCTATGGAAGAACCTTCACTTAGCTGGTCCTGTAAATGTTCTTGGTTTTCATCTTCTCCTCCATCTGGGGCTGATTTTGATCGTTTAAGAGGTGCTTTTACTAGGCCTGATTCAGACAACAAAATGAGTTGTTAGTAAACCTGAATATATTATAAAACATTGGGACATGCAAGTACTCTAAAATAACCATTGCACAGATACAGTGTTCTATTTAAGTTACATAACTAATACAGAAAAGCATTTTGGGGTGTTTTCCCAAATCCAAAACAATTCCTAATGACCATCCTATTAGTAAATCCCCTCAATATAGACCAACATTTCTAAAGCTGCAAGAAGTGTACTGTATATGTTATATGAGGTCAATACTGTCCACACTCTAGAGCCGTTTGGATGACCAGTCCACCTTCAAGTAGCTAGAGTATAATCCTTCCTTAATATCTTTTCATAATGACTCTAAAGTAATCAGTCTATTCTCACACTTATTACCAACAGAAAATTTGAGAAATATGTATTGGAGTTAGAATATCTACTGAGTAAACCTGTAATTGGTGCTTAGCTGGTCCTAGGTCTCTTCTACTGAAAGCCTTCTCATATATCTAAGAGAACACATACAGGACCTGATATAGACATAAGAAGTGGAGGAGCCAAAAGTAAAACTGGGCAATTGTAAGGGGTGTTAGCAGATCAGTGCATAGTGGAGGTGTATTAATGCAGCACAGCCAACAATAGGAGTGATAGTGGATAGTTGTAGCAAGCAATACAGACAGATGGCACCAGCAAGTAAATGAGCAATCACCAAAGAGTGTCATAGGATGTTATCAGGGTAAAGATATGGCCTTCATCCCTTCTGACAAGCATAATAGGTGTGAACAAGAATAATGGGCTCACTAATTCATTTTTTGTAATGCAGACAGAAATACGTGCTTAAAGGGGAAGTCCACTTTTACTAAAAAAAAATAATAAAGCATATAAAATTGCTTCACAAGCCATTTTGTAATTTAAAGTTATTAACAATTACCTTTCCATTTCAATCTGAAGCCACTGTTATTTTTTTAAAACATTGAATGCAATATAGCAAGCTGGAGGGGTTTTCTACACTGTACAGTATGCCCCAAAAATGTCATCTCCTTCATGTGTGATTGGCTCATTAATTTTCTCAGACATCTGCACTAAGATACAAGTCAAATCTGAGGCGTTCTGGAATTTCACAAAAATGAAATAGGAATTTCATTTTTGGTGAAACGATTCCTACGGGTTACATACTTGTAAAGGAATGCAGACATTCCAAATTTCCTTATTAGAACACAGTAAGTTCACCAAGTATTTATAATGAAGCAAACCTTCCCATTCAGAAATCAGTCTTGGAAGGACATAATGGAACCAAGAGCTTTTTTTTTTTTAGAGCAGACAATGGGAGGAATCTGCTATCTACATATATCACCCAGAGGGGATTGCTTTTTCATATTTGATAGAGTAAGAGAGGGTTATAACCCTTGTCAGGTTCTTTTTTGTTGCCATCAGATTGCAGAGATTTCCCTTCACTTCTGGTCCTGTAGCTAAAACGGACAGTAAGGGGAAATCCTTCTAAAGTGAGGGAATCCTGGGGTTTTACCAGGGACACCAATGTCCTCATTGGACGATATCCACTCTATTCCTGTTCCGATGTCAACTCAAATTTTGGGATTTGATTTTATTTCACTTTCGATGATAATGGTAAAAAAGGACAAAGAGTGCAGATCTTCCTAACAGGGGCACAGAGAACAATAAAAACCTGACAAGCGTTCTAATCCCTCTCCACTCTATCCAAAACTAAAATAAAAAGTTTTCCTTTAGTGGCACTTTAAGTGAACCTGTGTGATAAAAGCTAGCCCTGTGTTACCTCAAGTGATGAGGATTTTTGCCTGTCCCCATGTAACAGCACTGGGTAACTGAGGTCAGTCACAAAGCACCAAAACCGTCAATGTGAATAAGAGGAATGAGTCACACAACTCCCATAAATAAAGTGCTCATTATTGTTTTCTTTGTTTGGAACCAAACAATAGGGGAGGTAAAGAAAGGTAACCATGAAAGTGTTACTAAACCCACAACAGTAAAATCAGTCTGTATATGCAGTAAAGCATTGCTTGTTATACTCACTGTGGAACCTAAGGGGTTAATCCTCTGCATTGTGTAAAAAGGTTGTTTGATCCTGTCTTCTCTGATCCCCCCCTTTTTCTAGTGTCTTCCTAAATATCTTCTGATTGAACAGAGGTTCGGGGGCAAGCTGCTCATGCTCTTTTTGGTGTGTTCAGCTAGAGATTTTTTTTTTTTTCCTTGGGAGGGTGCATGTGATCAGCACAAGGCCAATCAGCACTGTCCAGACAGAGGTCAGGGGTCCTGCATCCTCCTACAGCAGAATGAAAACTCCTCCTACAAACTATAACTAGTGCTTTGCTAGACACTGACAGAAGTCACAAGACTGCTATATACTGCTAATGAGAAAGGGTATTTAGCAATTTATATTTATGAAAATAATTGAATTTCCATGTTGTGTGTACTGTGGGAGACCAGATATAGTGAATGCAGGGTACTGGGTTTAGTAACACTTTAACTGCTATTGAGGCCCAGATAAAGAACATGTTGATTTGCTCATGGGTAAAGAATGTGTTTCCTATAAGAAGTTGAAGATACTTTTAAATTTACCATGAAAAGCTGATTGGAGTACATACAACTTAGTGTCCACTGACCGCAAGGGAGACCTAAATGTAGGGTTAAGTATTTGTAAATTAACAGACCAACTTTTTTTTTTTTTTTTACCTTTCACCCTGGCAATGGTGTCTTCCCCATGTTCTGGCTCATGCTGTGCTGCCTCTTCAGAACTTTCCTCCACTGTGTCCTGGAACACCGCTGGGTTCCCTGGCATCAGGCGCATATAATAATCTTTGCTGTCATAACTGATAGCACGGCGGTAGCGAGCAGGTTTCTAAAACAACAATTTAAATAAATACAAAAATTGATCAGATTTAAAATTACATCTATGTTCAAAATAATCCTCCATCAATAAATACTTTTAATGTTCTAGTTTACCCTTAAATACAGCCATGCGAAAGAAGTGATATTTGAATGATCACTTTTGAGGCCACTTTTGTGAATCAGAGGTGGCCTGATGTAATCACACGATAAATCAGATAAAGATAAATCAGACAATAAAGTCTGATTAAATCCCCATATTAAGAAATTCTCAACAAATTTCAACTACATTCTGATTTTGATCACAAAAATAATGGAATAGACCATGGAAACCTACCTCCAACAGTTTGGGCTATTCCAAGGTTTCAGTAAATGATGGGAGGTAGGCTGATTGAAAGGGATTGAAACGGCTATAAATCTTCCCGGAATATGGCCAGCATAAGAAGGAATATAACTGGGTCCACAGGCAGGCTCTCTTAGGGCCCTTTCACATGGGCTTATCCACTCTGTTCAGCAGAAGATCTGTGAGAAGATCACCTGCTGAATCAGAGCTGAAAGAGACAGAAAGCAGTTTTGTGCCATTCTTGTCCAGTCTGTGCCTGTATTTTTAAATCTGAAAGTGGCATTTACATCAGGCCACCTCTGATTCACCACGTTTAGGACCAAAAACAACAGAAAAGGATGCAGTCCTTTTCCATTTTTTTTCCCGGACCTTGGTGGACACAAGGCCATTTACAGCCATACGTCTGCCCAAAGACACGCATGGAGTTTCTGATCAGGTCTGCTGCCTGAAAAACTGATAGGTGGCCCTGATTGGAAAGCCCATGTGAAAGGGGCCTTACACTTGGTGTGCTAATTTAACATGTAACAACAAAATGTACATGTGATGCTGTAATTAATGTAATACATGTTGAAAGTGCTAATCTAGTATAATTAAAATGGTTCTTTCCATTTCAAACTGGAGGTTCTATAAACCTGCCAAAAAATTACATTTTGCTTTATAACACAGCATACAGAGTGACTCTGAAAGACTTACTCCCTACTCAAGTATTGGCTTACCACTTTTCCCAAAACTGCACAGAACCGGAGATAAACTTCAGCCATGCCCAGAAAGGCCCTTATGTTTACTTCAATGACCTTTCATCAATGGTGGCAAACTATCCAAGGGTATTCCACATCTGCAAGCATGCCTTCAGATGTGCCATCCCTAAGTCCCCATTCACATAGCAAAAAAGGGAAAGTTGTGGCAAGAATAAAGCGGATTCCTGTGGCTGGATGTACATCTGAAGATGGTCCAAGACAAGAGAAGAGGTCGATGTTCTGCTTCAAGGAAGGGCAATGGCTATTAAGGGTGCAGACAGTTGCAACAGCTCCGCCTGCTCAAGGCAATGACAGGCTGGAACAGTAAGCTTGCTTCCAAGGGCGGTCATCTGTCTCCAACCACAGCTAATCACTTGCTGTGTGATTACATCGAAACACTAGTAGTCAGCTACGCTGTGAGCCTATCACTGGCTTTAAAAAACAGAGCAGCCTCAACTCCCCGGTATACCCAGCCAAAGGAATCTGCTAGATTCCTGGTACCCCAACCATGTCATTGTTGCCTGTCCCAGGACCTACAGAGCAGAAGGATGCTTTTATATATTTATGTGTAAATGTAACCAAATGCACGACATTCCATTTTTTGGTATGCATTTAAGCTAGCCTGGTTTGATTATTTGTAATAGAAAAGGACTGGTCTCCATAGCATGTCCTTCTGGTATGTTTGGCATGGCTGTAGCAAAGTGGCAATCTTTTCAAACTCTTAAAACAAACATTATTTCAGCACTCTGGTATCCCCCCAAAGACAAAGAGACAGTGTGCATTCTGCTAGTTGTAGTGGGCAGCACAAGACTGCTGGCAAGACACAGCTGTGAGAATACCGTCCAGGAACAGCCTGTTAGTGCATGGAACACAAATCTTTTGTCACATTCATTTACTACAAAGAATAAGACCAATTATTCAGAGAAGCAGGGAGCCCATGCAAAGCTAAAAGGAGCCTTATTTGATATCTGAAAATAAATCTAGTACTGACAGCAAAAGCATGGCGCATACTGGCATGATACACAGACAAGGGTCTACAATACATAGCAGCAAAGTCGATGATAATATTTACAAAAAGTCAAAATTGCAGGAAGTTATTGGAGTTTGAAGCAAATATTAAACAATTCTTTCCATTTTATTATTTATTTAAAAATCCATTTTCATTCAAACTGAAACTGTTCACATTGAGGTTAATTTGCTAAAGGAGTGGAGACAGTTCACGCTGAAGTGAATGGCAGTATGCTGAACTGTACCTACATTTAATACCTGAATATGTACAAAGGAAACTAAAAACAGTAATTTTGGTAGCACATCATTGGTTGAACGCGGATTCATCTGATTTACGATGATAACTGAACATTCACTTTGCAAAGTGAACAGGCTCTGTTCATTTAGTAAATCAATCCCAACAAGTCCATTACATGGCTGTTGGTCCTCATTGCTAATAAATATTTTTATTTTTCCAGCAAAACTTTACTGCACAGGTGTCAAACTGGCGGCCCTCCAGCTGTGGCCAAACTACAAGTCCCATGAGGCATTGCAAGATTGACAGTTACAAGCTTGACTCCCAAAGGTAAAGGCATGATGGGAGTTTTAGTTTTGCAACAGATGGAGGGCCCCCAGTTTGACATCCCTGCTGTACTGAGTGCAATAAAATCTGCGTCACAAACTCTCCTTGTTTTGGTCACTATATTTGTAACTTGTTAATGTTATCATAGAGGGAACAGGTTGTCCACTTGCCCTTTGGAAGTTTTACCCCCCTTCATGACCAGGCCATTTTTTGCTATAAGGTGCTGTGCTAATCTAAAAACATCAGAAGATTAAACTTCATTTACTTATTTTCGCACAATCAGACTCCATGGAATTTTATGCATTGGGAAGCAATCAGGCTCTACTGCACTGCACAATGCTGCCAATCTAACATGTATTCAGGCACTGGGGGCTGGAGAGGGAAGATGTTTAAGCAACTCAGGAGGAGGATGAAAGCACAGGAGGCCAAGTGATGATTTTGTTTCAAATTTCAGACATGGAGTGGATGGAGTTCTGCTTTGGAATATGAGCTTATACAATTCCTATCTGATTGAAAAGCAGGGTATTGTTTTAAGGAAATTGCAATAGATACTTGGCACTTAACATATGCTAGTTAAGTTTTTTTTAAAACTATACTGCTACAAGACTGCATGATTAGCATTGATAACATTTTGTATTTTAGTCAGAGAACTGTATACATGTGAAAGAGCTTAGTTTAATGTAAATCTTATTACTGTGTTACGCCATGAAAAAAAAAAACTAATTTCCGTGTAGATTTTCTAATTATCTATGTACATGGCAGCAACTATACTGTTTAACTTTTGTCGTATTTTATCTAACAGTAAGTTATAGTGATAACCCATGTGTTCTAGGCTATGTAGACTAGGAGTTGGGGAACTCTGATTTTTTTTATTTTATTTTTTAAAGCAAGCAAGCTTTGCTTTTTTTAACCAATATAATAAAAATGGATAGGTAAAAATATAATAATGTAAAGTAACACTGATGTGCCAAGCTGACTCATGTGTGATATCGATTTTATTATATCCCTACTGTAATATTAGGCCCCTTCCAAATTGGCATACTGCATGTCCGTTTTTCATCTGTCCGTTTACGGATGAAAAGCAGACACCCATGTATCTCTATGGACTAGTCGATGTAAATAGATGATCATCTGTTTACATCCGTTAATGTCCGCATCCGTTAACATCTGTTTTTTTGAACGGAAGAAAACCCTATTTTTCTTCCGTTAAAAAAAAACAGAACAGACAAAAAAAAAAACAAAACGTAAAAACAGACAAATATGTATGTAAACGGACAAAAAAAAACAGATGTTAAATGGATGTCAACTGATGAAAAACTGACGTAAACTGATGAAAAAACTGATGTTAATTTGTGAAAAACTGATGTGAACTGATCTGCTTTTTCTTGGAAAAAACGTGACTGAACTGATCCTGTGTGAAAGGGGCCTTAGACTGAATGCAGCTGATCAGTCCCAGTAGCTCCAAACAGTACAAATGTAGTCTCAGGCACAGAGTGGAATTCACTAAAGTTGACCATACATGGATTGAAATAGGGCTGGTTTGGCAGTGCCCAGCTGAATTTCAATCTATATATATGGGCAGGCAGGTTTTGCACAAGTTAGTCTATTGACTTGTGTAAAGTCAGCCTGTTGGCAAATTTTCTCTTGATCAACGTCGCCAGTTATAGCTGGCGGTGCTAATTAGTTTATTCTGACAGCGGAGAAGTCTCCCCACTGTCAGAATACAAAAGCTCAGCAGTAGGGATTCCCCCATCCACCTCAAACATGTGGATGGGGGAGACAAGTAATTTTCTTTCAGGTTGAACGAGAGAAAAAAAAATTACTCATGTATTGCCGGCCTAAGACTGGAGCAGTCAGAATCTGGAGTAACTGTGCATGGCACCCAATATAAAAGAACTTACATTTAAAATACCCCTAGTCAGTTAGTCTGGAGATGTAACAAAACACTACTAAAAGGAACAATTAAATTGAATAAAAATATGTACTGGACCCTGGTGCACAGCTCTGGACCATTAAGCATGTTAAGACTCACTGCAGACATGTTATAAAACTGACAGTGAAGATATACTACTAATCCTCCAAGGTAAAAGGTAAGGCACTAGTATTGTTATACTGTAAACAAGCACAGAGTGGTGCGCTCAGAATAAAAAGCAGCTTTGTTAGAACATGCTCCAGTGATTATTTCTAGTACAGCCTGTGCATTTAAAACTACACTCCGTTTTACCTTCTCATGAGTTACCATGAAGAGACCGTCAGAGGTTTCAGGTAGTGTACATGGAAAGTCAGACTAAAAATGGGGTATTAAGTATGAAAACATCAGAAAGATATTATACATGTAGAAGTCAAAACTACAGATGGATACAGAGATGTAAAATAAATCTTTTGAAACTGGGGAAACAACACTGGGGTATTTAAAAAACGCTCCACCTCTGTTCTAAGAATCTCTGCAAAATGTGGGGATTCTATTAGAGGTATAGTAAATTATGCACTTGCTTCGTTCAAGGCTGACTTCCATTAGCAACCATGGAATAAGCATTAGGAAAATGGAAAATCAGGATTGTACATTTGCAATCAGAACCTCTACATTTGTTAGCAACTGGTCACCAATGTCAGAACTGCTTAATGGAGCTACCATAATTGTGCTTAGGCTGGTTCCATTGTATGACATTTTTCCTAGTTGAAGGACTTAACTTCACGTTACTAGAAGCTATGAAAATCCTATTATGACATTCTCCAGGCAATATATTTCTCACAGCAGTTTGCTGTAATGCTCCCTATACAAGTTAGAGTTCTCCTTTCCCAACTTTAAAATGTAACAGACTTTGTCATAAACTAAACCTCAACTCCTGAATTGTCAATAGTAAAGCCTTCCATGCCAGGGACTAAATATTTCATTATTGATTTGTATTCATTCCTGTAAGGACAGAAACGTCAGTCTGCAAGACTGCCCTATCTCCTTCCCAAGCTCAGTGCTAAGAAATAGTGGTGCGCCAAAACCGAAAATGCAGGATGCCCTTGACCAAAAAACTGAAACCGAAAACGGACAGTTTTTAAACATTAATGTGGCTGGCAATTTTGTACGAAAGTCACTAAGTGGTGTTTTTGCATTGAAATCAATGGGGACGTGACATTATTATTATTATTATACAGTATTTATAAAGCGCCAATAGTTCGCTCAGCGCTGTACATTACAAAGGGGACAGAACATGTGACAGAACAATACCAATACAATGCAAAACATGAGGGGATTGAGGGCCCTGCTCTTTCACATGAACGTATATGAGACGTGATTTTCGATTGAAGTCACTAGGGGGGCATTTTTGCATTAAAGTCAATAGGGATCTGACTTTGCATTAAAGTCTATGAGACATGATTTTGCACTGAAGTCACTAGGGGTTTTTTTTTTTTTCATGAAAATCTATGAGACGCGATTTTGCATTGAAGTCACTAGGGGGTGGTTTTTGCATTGATGTGAATAGGGACGCAACTTAGCATGAAAGTCTATGAGATGCGATTTTGCATTGCAGTCACTAAGAGGCGTTTTTGCATTAAAGTCTATGAGATGTGGCTTTGCATATGTTGGCACCATTATCGGCAAAATGCCTATAACACTATTTTCGGACGATATGTTTCAGCCGTCGACAGGGGCGGACTAATCATTCGGGCAATGGGGTGGACTAACCATTCGGGGTATTGCCCGAGGGCCCGGGATCAGTATTGGGCCCCGTGAGAGGTCCAGTGACAGTGTGGGGAGCAGAAGAGGAGGAGGCAATCTCAGTTTCGGGAGTAGCTGACCTTTCACGTAGTGGCAGAGTGAGTTGGGGTCCCGGGCAGTGGTAGTGCCTTGTACACGCTGCTGTTGATGGAGCCAGTGGATAGTGTGAGAGGCAGTGGCGTATCATCCATGGATGCAGGGTGTTCACTGCACACACTCAGCACCCATGGATGACATGTAACAGGAGCAAAGTCAGGGATGATCAATGCAGCGGTCAGGCAGGTACAAGCACCAATCTCCTGTATGGCTTTCAATGAAGCAGCTGAAAGCTGTGGGAGGGAGAGAAGAAGCAGCTTCCAGCTGCTATATTGACAGCCATAAAAGGAAGATCGGTGCCTGTAACTGTCCCCACTGCTGCACCGATGAACCCTGACTGTGCATTTCCCCTCTGGACCCCCCTGACATCCCCTCCCTTCATTCTTTCCCCCCTCCTTCTTTAAATTTCCTTCCTTCCCTCCCCTTCCTCCATCCATTCCCTCTCTCCCTTTTATTCCTTCCCTCCCCCTTCCTTCCTCCATTCATTTCTGTCCTCCTTTTCTTCCTTCCTCCATCCCCTCCCTACCTTCTTTCCTCCCTCCCCTCCCTTCCTCCCATCCCTTCATTCCTCCTTTCATCCATTCCCTCCCTCTTCCTTCCTCCATTCATTTCTGTCCTCCTTTTCTTCCTTCCTCCATCCCCTCCCTACCTTCTTTCCTCCCTCCCCTCCCCTCCCTTCCTCCCATCCCTTCATTCCTCCTTTCATCCATTCCCTCCCTCTTCTTCATTCCTTTCCTTCCTCCCTCCCTCCCCTTCCTTCATTCATTCACTCTCTCCCTTTTCTTCCTTTCTCCATCCATTCCTTTCCTCCCTTTTCTTCCTTCCTTCCCCTCTTTTCTTCCATTCCTCCCTCCATCCCCTCCCTTCATTCTTTCCTCCCTTCCCTCCTTTCATTTCCTTCCTTTATTCCCCTTCCCTCCTCCTCCCTCCTGTTCCTTCATCCATTCCTTCCTTCACTCTCCTTCCTTCCCTCCTCCATCCATTTCCTTCCTTCACTCTCCTTCCTTCCCTCCCTTCATTCTTTCCTCCCTCCCTTCCTTTCATTTTCTTCCTTCATCCATTCCCTCCCTTTCATCCTTCCTCCCTCCCTCCCCTTCCTTCATTTCCATCCTTCCTCCATTCCCTCTCTTCATTCTTTACTTTGTACCCTCCTTTCCTTCCTCCCTCCCCTTCCTTCATCCATTCACTCTCTCCCTTTTCTTCCTTCTCTTTCTCCATCCATTCCTTTCCTCCCTTTTCTTCCTTCCTTCCCCTCTTTTCTTCCATTCCTCCCCTCCATCCCCTCCCTTCATTCTTTCCTCCCTTCCCTCCTTTCATTTCTTTCCTTTATTCCCCTTCCCTCCTCCTCCCTCCTGTTCCTTCATCCATTCCTTCCTTCACTCTCCTTCCTTCCCTCCTCCATCCATTTCCTTCCTTCACTCTCCTTCCTTCCCTCCCTTCATTCTTTCCTCCCTCCCTTCCTTTCATTTTCTTCCTTCATCCATTCCCTCCCTTTTCATCCTTCCTCCCTCCCTCCCCTTCCTTCATTTCCATCCTTCCTCCATTCCCTCTCTTCATTCTTTACTTTGTCCCCTCCTTTCCTTCCTCCATCCCCCCCCCATTCTTTCCTTCCTCCATCCCCTCCTTTCCTTCCTTCCTTGCTCCTATCCTTCCTCCATTCATTCCCTCCCTTTTCTCTCCCCCCCTCCCCCTTCCTTCATCCATCCCTTCCCTGCCTCCCTCTCCTTCCTTCCCTCCCTCCTTCATCCATTCCCTTCCTCCCTTTTCTTCCTTCCACCCTTTCTCTCCCTCCCTCCCTCCCTTCCTGCTTTTCTTCCTTCCTTCTGATATATTGGGGTACAGATTCTATTTATTCATCCCAATTTAATGACAGCTCAACATATACTAGTGCTCCCTGTTCACTCCCTACTGACACTGTCGACTACCCCCACAAAATCATCATGAAAAAAACAATACAATAATAAAAATTGTAAAAAATAATTAAAAAATTAAATAATAAAAATAAAAATATTCTGACACCCACACCATCCACTGGTCACCAAAAAGCATTTTGAAAAAAACATAAAAAAATCATAAAATTGTACAAAATAGAAAAAAAAAAAAAATAATAAAAAAATAAAAAACTACTAACACCATCCACTGCCCTACTGGTACTATCATGCACATACTACCCACACCCCTTTTAAACCACGCCCAATTTTATCACAATTTAAAATACACCCCTCTCTCTCACTCCTCCTCTCTCTCTCTCTCCCCTCCTCTCTCTCACATGGCAGCCATCATGCCCAGTGGCTTCTACAGAAAGAATCCGGGAACATTCCTGCAGTCTTTGCTGCAGTAAATATTTAAATGCCCGTTCTATGCAGCTGAGCAGCAATATGTAGGTGGGGCATTGTGTGGGTGTGGCTTGAGTGTAGACGGGGACACAGGGGCCCCATGATTGTCAGTCCGCCCCTGGCTGTCGATATATTGGTGCATCCCTACTAATAAATACAAAATTTGCCATAGAACAAACATGAAAGAAAACAGCTACCTTACTTATTTTCAGTTATCCACCCTAAGCTTACAGAGTAGACAAGTCAGCTTCCAAAGGGGCCTTACAGGTTGACAAGGAGAGAATGCAATAAAGTAACACACACTCCTATCTCCAAGAGCCAAGGCTGAGCTACTATAACTACTCAAGAGTGGAGATTCAGATACTTACAAATGTATATTTTTGGCTGGTTCTCTATACCCTGAATAATGAAGCATGGCTGATAGTTAAAACTTTGAGCACTTTCTTGCAGTGGTTATATTGTTGACAATGACAACATATGAAAAAAGTAGACAAGACTGCTGGAGAAACTTCACAGCATATGATCTTTACAAGAGGGTTGCAAGCATAAAATTACATACATGCTACCCTCATTTTTGAAAAATCATTTATTTGCACCTAGTTACATCACAAAGGGTATAATAAACAAAAAATGGAGATGTCACCACTCTAAACTCTCAGAAGTCCCTCTGTCCAGACATCATGCAGATGCAGGTTTGGAAGCCCGCCCTATATCCTTGTGTCTTAAGCATCTATACAAGGAAGCCACACACCACTGATGTTACTGTGCAGAAAAAAACCTTTGAGACTTCAAGAACAAGGATGCTGTCGTCCCCATCTCCAGACCACCCAACTGTGATGCGTTCCACCCCCCATGTGCTCATCTCTATGATTAAACCCCTGAGGATGAAACCAGATCGGGGCAGTCAGGAGGTAGGGACAGCAACATGCTTGTTCCTAGAGTCTCAATAAAGCTTTTACTGGACAGTGACATCAGTGGTATGCGGCTTCTTATAAGACTGCAAATGATAAAATATAAAAGCACAGTTGTTTTGGGAACAGACAGTATAAAAAATAGTAAGAAAATCAGAATACCCTTCAACTCACCGTTGTGTTACTGTCTTGCTCTACTTCGGGGATGTAAGGATAATGAATGTAGAACA